TTAAAGTTAATGGCTTATAAAATTAATAAAATTAAGTTAAAAGTTGAAGGAATAAAGAATTAACTTAATAAAAATTAAGTTAAGATTGAATTAACTTAAGTTTAAAAAAAAGTTAATTTTGAAAAAAATTATTTTTGAGATCAGAATGTCCTAATTTTTAAAATGAGATTATTTTAAATAACACTTGCAAATATAGATTATTAGGTAAATTTAATTTTATAGTTACATGTAAGTTACTTATATATAATGAGAGTCACACCATATAAGGCGTTTTTGTCAAAATCTTGCGAGAGAGAAGAGTATATGTTTACGTTATTTCTCTTTCTTTAACCTGTGTCTAACTTTCTTTAACTTCTGAAACGACTGCTCATGCATGTTTATGACTACATCGACTAGATTTGTTACAAAAAATATACGTAAAAATTTAGAAAATGGATGGATATGCATACTGTTTTACAACAATTCTTCATCTAAGGCTCATTTCATATTTATGTTGCTGAAGTATAACATTTATGATATTTAAAATTAGTGTGATTTAAATATAAGCGGGATTTGACAAAACCTAGTGAGTCAATAAAAACTGGCTACCGTATGGTGTGGCTCTTATTATAGATCTTTCATCATAAAATCAATGAACTTTTTCTCAATTAATTCTCTAATGTTTGATTTTAAAAGAAAAAAACATTAGCATTAAGAGAGATAGAAAAATTTTTAATTTTTAAAAAGTTAATAAATTAAAGTTTAAAAGCAACTAAATTAAATTAAAAATTAATGCATTTAAAATTAACTAAGTTAAGTTAAAAGTTATTAACTTTTTAACTTTTTTTTTTAACTTTTAACATTTTAACTAGTTACTACTCAACCCTGATTATGACTAATAGTTACGTATGACATCCGTTATACGATTCTGATACTGGATTCACACCGGATCCAATGTGCGTCATACGATGCTCTGCAACCAATCAGAAAACAAGATTTTGCTTCGTATCATCGATACAAAATAATATTCTGCTTTCTGATTGGTTGCAGAACATCGTACGACGCACGTCAGATCCAGTGTGAATCTAGCAAATGAATGTCAGATATCGTATAACGGATGTCGTACGTAATGTGAATCTATTACCCCGGATCTACAATAGGTGTTTTAAGCCTTAAGCCGTAAGAAATTGACCAATTACAGTCGAATCCGAGAAGAATAAGCGACTGTGATTCGCCCATTTCTTATGGTTTAAGGCTTAAAACCCTATTGTAGATCCGGACTTAGCGTTTTCGGCCCGATCGGGTTTGCACCAACCTGGGTTGGATTAATCTTTCCTTGGTTGATGTCACACGCTCTACCAATAGGAGAGCGCAAAACGCCATTAATCCAACCCAGGTTGGTGCAAACCCGATCGGGCCGAAAATGCTATATATTTCGAGTACGCTGAGGTCGCTGGGTTCATTCGGAGCAACCCCGAGCAGTTTCTGAGAGACAAAACGAACAATACTTATGAATACCAGCTTATGATTCGTCCATTTCTTATGTGATTTAAGGTTTAAAATATATTCTATTATAGATCACCGGACTTATAGATCTTAAGTGACCTTAAGATCCTCCCCAACCAATGAAATGGCTATATTTTAAGAGTGTTTATATAAGATCAAACTGTGAATATTGGCTGCGTTCAGCAGACTCAACAGTTAAATGAGCGCTCTCTGCTATTGATGTATTCTTCTAGATCTAAAATCTGGTTGGACGATCTAAAAGAATACACCAATAACAGTGAGCGCTCACTCAACTGTTGAGTTTGCTGAACGCAGCAGCCACTGTTATGTATGTAACTTTTTCTCTAGAGTGGAAACATAAAAAACGAAAATTTTTATTCATTATGTATGACATATAACACGCATATGTATAAAAAATTCTCTCTTTCCACGTTTTCGCCCTAGGGAAAAAGTTACATGATTATGATACTCTGCTCTGTGCGAACATATAGTCAATGTTGATATCCCTGACTCCTGTGATCAACTTCTTCCTGCGCTGCGAACAAAGCAAGAAAACAAAAATGGGAATTTTTTGGAAGTTTTAAAATTTATTTACAGAAGAGTTTTTGCAATGCAACTACAGATATACTTGATATTTCACGCTACATAATAATCATAATTTTTAACATCATTTTAAATTTAGATATCTATATGAAATAAATTATTTATTTTTAAATTTACTAAAATTTTTTTTTACTTAAAAAATTTCTTACAGTTTTCAACATTTTAATTCTTTACTCTTATGAAAACGTGCAGTATGTTTCCTTAAATAAATCTTTCTTAGTTAAATAAACTGCAACAAATTTGTGAGTATTTAAATGTTATCGAATTTATCAAATCATAAAAATCTTATGTAAATCAATTGTAAAGCTACCTCATCATGATTTTTCATTGTTAATGATATATCTTTAAGATTGAATCATGCTATAATCAAAAGATAAAAATAAATTTTTGCAATAATTTTCAAAGTATTATAGATTAACAATTGGCTTTAAAATAATATTTCATATCATATATAACACATTTTTAATTTTTAATTCAAATAAGAGTATATAAACATAATATTATTTTTGTATTCTAAATTTTCTCACATAAGTTGCATATAAATTAATATTAAATTAACTTTTATTAGACTTTAATTTAATATATAAACAAAATGTATTTACATAATTTAGATATACATTAAAAAAAATTTGCATCTTCTTTTATAAATTTTCTTGCAAAACTTTCATATTTTTTACACCGCGTTTCTTGACAAATAAATAATACTTCTATCATAGAAGGGAAATTGTATAGTGGGGATTTAAAATAAATTAAGAAAAATTTTGGGCAGATTCTTCGTATTTATGTCGCAAGACATAAATATGAAGTGCGAGCGCGATGAGTTCGTGTTTTGAATATTTAAAAGATGGCTGGCCATCTTTGAACCCGGAAGCGAGGATGTCATATCCGTCTCGATCGTGCAATGGTCGCGGAGGGGGGTTAGGACAAAATAGGTTTCTTGATGGCACACAAGAAACTGTGAGGTCCGTTAAATAGCAAGAGAGAGCGGTCGGCGATTAGGTACCAATTGAGTAAACGTAACGTTAATGGCAGAGGAACATGTTTACGGTTACAATCCGACGATCGGAGTCGATGCCGATTCCGTACGTAACTCCACTTTGACAGTTTGACAAGTACAGGTTGGGTTTCGGAGCGACTGATAAAGGCGCAACCAACGAACGAGTGTTACTTTCGGGCACGGCTGTTTATTATATCATGGCCTTTTTTTCCCTTCCACAAAGCGGTTTCGTCGTTATACATGGTGTATTCCGACCAACAGCTTGTATCGCGATGACAATGATGGAATCGTAATCCTACCAAAAAAAATATCAGTTCGCGATGTTAATCCTAAATTACACTTGCAACGTAGCAGTATTTTAACGACGTCGCTCGCACGTGTTTTCCAAATGGCGCATTAATTATCGATACTATATTTTACTATTTATTATTGTTGTAATGAAGCATTTTCGACGTAACTTTGATGTGATTACTGGCGATATTCGTGTGCAACATAGTGCAATATTCAAGAAAGGCTTGTCTGCCATTACGATAATAATCTGTCGAGGAGATATCATTTGATAATTTTTCTGTAGTATATCTGTATTAAAGTGGAACTTGTATTTTTATAATTTAGTGCTTGAAATATGATTGTGCAAATATTTTGTGGAAAAACATTGTAGATTTCAATTACTTTTAATGGTATTATAAATTATATATTTTTATATATATATATGATATTTTATGATTGTGCAAATATTTTGTGGAAAAACATTGTAGATTTCAATTACTTTTAATGGTATTATAAATTATATATTTTTATATATATATAGGATATTTATAATCGTATTTATATATATAATGATATAAACATATATATTTATATCAGTCAATACCAACTTGAAGATACTTGTCAATAATGGAGCATAATTTTGACATTTGATTATTATACCAGATGATTTATTTATTTAGAGAGACGAAACTAGCAAGTTGAGGTTAAAAGTAATGGCTGGGCATCACTTAGCTAAGAAAGATATTTTTGGTGCAAGCGATCCCTATGTACGCGTGGACTTGAACACAATAAATGGCGATCAGACAGTGGATTCTGCACTTACAAGAACTAAGAAGAAGACATTGAATCCTGTCTGGGAAGAAGAATTTATATTTAGGGTAAGTGGCGTAAAAAGAGGAAGAATTTTTGAAAAAAGTATTTTTTCCTAGATTTTTGATGTTGTAATATATATTATTAACGTGAACTATCTTTTCGCAGGTTAAACCAGTAGAACATAAATTGGTTTTACAAGTTTTTGATGAAAATAGATTGACAAGGGATGATTTTCTTGGTATGGTTGAGTTAACATTGATTAATTTACCAAAGGAACAAGAAGGTCGCTCTATTCCTGCTAGGAATTATGTACTTCGTCCACGTAGGTAAGTATTTTTTGACGATTTTGCTTCATGCTACATATTTTTCAACTTAATTTTGTATATTACACACCTTAATCTAATTTACATTATTTACATCTAGTTGCTATACATAAGTTTGGTATGTTATAACTTTTAATCAATTAGCACAAGGGATAAATTATCAATTATAATTTTAGTCGCTTTAATTTCAATTTGCAGTATATATGTATATAATTTAAATTTGACTATATGTATATAATTTAAATTTGACTACATAATTAAAAAAAATATCCAATTGTATATACACTTTACATTAATATTGTTTTATTGAAATTTGTTTGTGCTTTGTACTTTTTTATTTGCAAATGCAAAATGAATAACTTATGAGGATATGGCTAGTAATCATTCCAGTCAGCGGTCACGAGTTAAGGGAACGTTGGAACTGTATCATGCATACATTTCTGACTCATCGAGTATTGAAAATGACAACGGAGATGTATCTGATTCAGGCGGATGGGAATTAGTACAGCCAGAGAATAACAGTCCAGTAGAGCAAAGTGCAGATGTATGTACATAATATAATATAATCTATTGTTGTTATAATAACTTTTTTGTACTAAAATGTACATTTTTTACAACAAATGTTCAATCTTTTTCGTACTTATAAAATAAGAATAAAGCAGTTCTACATAATTCTACAAAGTTTTAAATTTTAAAATACTTTTGCAGATTACGATAGTCAATAGGCCCTTACCACCGGGCTGGGAAGAAAGACAGGACGCAAATGGCCGGACATACTATGTTAATCATATAGCGCGTTTCACACAATGGGAACGACCAGAACCGTATGTGATACTGTGTTTATTAGATAATTATATTTCATTCGAGTATCTATAGTATCTATATTTCAAAATGTTATCTTATTGTAACACAGAGATACAACAGCGACGAGTGGAATTGTTGAACAACGTAATTTGGATACAGCAGCTACTGAATTTCAACGACGATTTCATATTAGTGCCGATGATGAAGGTAGACATAGGAACTCTGTAGTAAATCAGGTAAGTTCAATAGTGTTTCTAATTAAAATTTTGTAAGTTGTTACTTTTGCATAAGTTCAACATACATATTTTACATAAAAACAACATATTTTATATAAAATTATACTACAAGTTTTATATTTATTAATTATACTAATTTTTTAAATATATATAGGAAAAGATTGCGTTATTAATGTTAAATCCACTTTATAATCATATTTTGTTTTGAATAATTAAGATTGAGTTATTGCTTAATGTTACCGACATTATATACTGTATCTATTTGTTTTAGAAAATTTTTTAATTAGTTTATTTATCTTTATGTGGTAAAGATAAAAAAGATACCTTTTAATTATATCTCTAAATAATTATATCTTTCTGCATTTTAAAAAATCGAAGTTGCGTAATAATATTCTCTGCTTTCAAATCTCCATGCTAGCAGATATTATGTTTCCTTTTTATTTATTTATATTCCACGTAAGATACATGTGTTCATACACACACACGCACAAAAATCTTAATATGTAATGAAATCATTTATGAAATTGTTTATAAATATATTGATTCAGTGGCGCATTTGTATAAAAATATATATATACAGGCACATGTTAATTGCATATTATGTTAAATTTTATGAAATTATTTTATCAGTTTCTTTATAATGTTCACAAGAATTTTCTTGACATTTATTTATGGGTTTTAATGTATGCAACATATTATGCATAAACATATTTGTTGTTGCATATTTTTCTCCATATAAGAATGTGTTTAGCAAATAATGTAGTAAAAAATAGGAATATATTTTGAATTAATAGAGGTAATATTAGCAATTTAGCGTTAAACATTAATAAGATTGATTTATTGAGAAGCACAAATAGCTTATTCTTAATATGTTGTTAAATGGTTAAACAACATTTTTAAACGTGCACACATTTAAAATTCCGGCATTAGTACATCTATTCATACAATTCGTATGATTAGCATGCAGTATGTAGAAAATTGTGCATGTGTGTGTAAGGATGGTGAAGTTCTACGCGAGGACGATGAAGATTCGGAAGCAAGAGATTGTGAGGGTGGGGATCATAGGGGAGGGGGTATTGGGGATACTTCTTCAGACTCCGGACGTTCTGTTGATCAACGTGGCTACCTTAGTGAATCTGAAGAACAGGTATTAATATACATAAAGTTGTTATATTCATTTTTAGTTGAATGTAACGCTTAATACGTATATATTTATATGTGTGTGCTTGTTGTAAAGTGAATAATAGCATATGTAAGTTTTATTTCATGCATCAATCCCATTTGACGTATTCAACTTTGATAAAGCTAAGTCATATAAATTACATAAAGATATATATTCTAGTTTCTTTATACCTATTATAGCTGTTATAGTTATATTTATTAAAAACATGTTATTGAATAGGATGTACAAAAGCATATATAGAAATAAACAATATTCCTTTGTCCTTAGTTTATTTATTTGCATATATAGAAATGTTTATATATCTATTTAAGTATTCACATATATAAAATTATAGCATCAGGTAGAACTTACAAACTTAGATTTTCTTTTTTTTTGTAATATGATATTTATTGGCGTATTAATAAAAAAAACTTTAATTTATTTTTGTATTACTGCTTTATAATTTAATTAGTATAGCATGCTTTGTTTAGAACTTTATTTCGAAAATTTTTGTATATGTTTTTAAAATTTGGCATGAATTTTCCTCTTCTTACTTATTATAAATATATTTATTATAAATTATATACATAAATAAATAAATTATGTAAATATATATATTCTAAAGTAATGAAATTCTGTATTTCAAAATATATTCTCTTGAAATTGTAATATGTGCACTAGCTTATTATATTAATAAATACACATCATTTTCATTTTATATTCATATAGTTTTTTATTGGATTGTAATATACAAATGTTTTTATATTACATTTACAGACTGATGATAACATCGACAGTCCGGCTGGTTCGAGACGTTCATCAGAGCAGGTACGTTTAATTATTTATTTTATTATATCATTTATATTATCTAATATTTTATATATAATATTTTTTCTTTTATCGCAAAAATTTTAGATTGATAGTCCCAAACCTACTCTTCCTGTGTCTAATGACGAAGGATTGCCTCCTGGTTGGGGCATGCAAGTAGCACCTAATGGTAGAATATTTTTTATTGATCATAATGAGAGAGCGACAACCTGGATTGATCCCAGAACGGGAAGACCAAGCTCTATACCTAATAATATTGCACCATCAACGACATCGAGAAGTGATTTAGATCAATTAGGACCACTTCCAGAAGGATGGGAGGAAAGAGTACATACAGATGGACGAATCTTCTTTATAGATCATAGTATGTGTATTGTTTTCTATAATTTCAAGTTTTAAACTTAAATTATGATAATATTACATCTGGATATAGTATTTATTTATCTTTTTTGTTATAGATACACGAACAACACAATGGGAAGATCCACGTATGTCTAATCCTCAAATTGCTGGCCCGGTATGATTACAAACGTTTTATTATATAAATCTTTTTATGTAGGAAAATAATATACATATATATATTTTTTAGCTGTAGATATGTATATATAAATTTAGTATATTGTGAATTGTTATTCTTTTTCAGGCTGTACCATATTCAAGAGATTACAAGCGTAAATATGAATATTTGAAATCACAATTGAGAAAGCCTGTATGTAGATATGTTCATTATTCATTAAATCACTTTTGACATAGATATGATTATGCTATATTTGTATATCTTATTGCAGAATAATGTTCCTAATAAGTTTGAGATAAAAGTTGGCCGAAATAATATTTTGGAAGATTCATATCGTATTATAAGCTCTGTTAACAGAGTTGATATTCTAAAAACAAAATTATGGGTAGAATTTGAAGGAGAGGTAGGCTTAGATTATGGTGGCCTTGCAAGAGAATGGTTCTTCTTATTGTCTAAGGAAATGTTTAATCCATACTATGGACTCTTTGAGTATTCTGCAACGTGAGTATAGAAACTCAATTTAGTGTTTATATGTAATGTACGATCTCTCTCTCTCTCGAAACAAAAATGACATGATTTTTTATTTTTAGTGATAATTATACACTGCAAATTAATCCTTGTTCTGGTGTATGTAATGAGGAGCATTTAAATTACTTTAAGTTTATTGGGCGCATAGCAGGAATGGCTGTTTATCATGGCAAGCTTTTGGATGGTAAGTCTTGATACGTAATAAAACTATAATAATTGTAATAGTAATATACGTAATAAGATAATTAAATTAAAAAATTTTATTTTTTAGCTTTCTTTATTCGACCATTTTATAAAATGATGTTGGGTAAACCAATTGATCTGAAGGATATGGAAAGCGTTGATTCTGAATATTACAACTCGCTTTTATGGATTAAAGAAAATGATCCTAGTGAATTAGAACTCACTTTCAGTCTCGACGAAGAAAGCTTTGGTCATACATCCCAAAGAGACTTAAAGCCAGATGGTGCTAATATTCCTTTGATCGACGAAAATAAGGACGAATATATAAGTTTAGTTATACAATGGCGGTTTGTATCTCGCGTACAGGAACAAATGAATGCCTTCTTGGAAGGTTTTAACGCTCTTATACCACCAACATTGGTAAAAATATTTGATGAACATGAACTGGAATTGTTAATGTGTGGTATACAGCATATTGATGTGAAAGACTGGAAACAAAATACTTTATATAAAGGAGACTATCACGCAAACCACATTGTTGTACAATGGTTTTGGAGAGTCGTTTTGTCATTCAGTAATGAAATGCGTTCTAGATTATTACAGTTTGTAACCGGTACATCACGTGTTCCAATGAATGGATTCAAAGAACTTTATGGAAGTAATGGACCGCAATTATTTACAATTGAGAGGTGGGGTACACCGGAAAATTATCCAAGAGCTCATACTTGGTGAGTTTTTATTTTATAAAGGTATTGCATTTGCTAAAATTTTTTTAATTTACTTCAAACTATATATACATTTTGTTTATTTTATATATTATATTCTTTAAAAACAAATAAAATATAGTTGTTTACCAGTTTTGTTTATTATTATCGATGAAATAATTTCTTTCATATAAATGTGTTACACAATAACATAAATTATTGTTCCAGTTTTAATCGTATTGACCTTCCTCCGTATAAAAGTTATCAACAACTCAGGGATAAGCTAGTTAAAGCAATTGAAGGTTCTCAAGGCTTTGCTGGAGTCGACTAGCACGAAATACCTTTGTTCATGATGATATCTGTAATATAATGTATATATTACATATACCTTATAGAGGTACACAGAAAAATATATTATCTTAATACGATTATCTATTCAAAAATTTCTGCACTTTAATGATTTTGTTGTCTCAATTATGAGCAACAGCATTATAAAATATATTAAAAATAATATGTTCAAAAGTTAAATCGCTTAGTTTTTCTAAATAACTTTCGATAAGTCTTTCAGCATATGCTACGCTTTTGAAAATAATTATTATAATGAAAAGTATTTACATAACTGAAGTAAACTGTTAAAACTTGCAGTCACATATTAACTAATCCAATTTTAAAGACATGCCATATTCTTACTATTGCAATTATGGATTTTTCTAGGAGAAGTGATTTGGCTGCTATAACAATGTGATATTATGATATTGATTTATTAATTGATTCTCTTTTCTTTGTTAATAATATTAGAATGTTATGAAATATAATTTGTGCAATGGCTGTATATGATAAAATTATGACAAATTGTTTCAAAATGACATTATAATGACATGTTATCCTACGACTTAAAAATTCTGTGCACATAGATATGCTATCTTTTTTCTATTTTTAAATCACAAGATATTATATAATGCTATTTTGTTGTCAATAAATTCAATTCTTGAAATTTATATTTATATAAAAATTTTGGTAAAGAGAATTACTTAACTTTTTTTTTAATTAAAAAATTTATTCTATAACTTTTTATATTGTTTACTCGAAATAATTAATTGTTTTATAAAAGTATGTTGTTTTTCTAATCAATCAAACTTTTTTGATATTGTAAATATGGATTATATACATCATAATTTTAATTATATTTTTGTGGCACACCAAACTATGCTTCTCTTTTTCAATTTTAACAGCATGTAAAATTTTAATTTGCTTAATATATAAAGCTGTTTATATCTTTTGTTGAAGGGCAAATATAAAATGCCTGTCGTATATATTTACACACACACACACACACACACACACACACACACACACACACACACACACACACACACACACACACACACACACACACACACACACTGCGCGCGCGCGCGCGTGTGGATGTAAAATACACGTTTTTCTTTATATACGTTGTTCCTTTTATGATTATGAAATAATAAAAGATAATATTATACATATAAATCGTATTGTTCAAGAATGTATACTCTTATAATGTACAGAAGAATATAAACAGTTTTATAAACAATTATTATGTTATTAGAAGAAAAGGCAAGAAACGATAAAACCAAAGCTAATATTGTAACGATTTTATTTCAAAATTTTTATTTTGTGCTAAATAGTATGAAATGAAATTATGTAGAATAAGTTATTAGATGAAAATTCATATTTTACATCATATGAATATATAAAGTAAAATATGCAAAATTTTATAAGCATACTAATAAACTTATTTATAAAAAGATATATTGAATTAACAAATTGAATTAATTGGTTGCAGGTGATATCATTAATAATACCTTGCTTGTTCTTCTGAGTTGATAATGACTTGAGGATATACGTTGCATTTAGGAAGTATAATTGTATACAGTAAATGAAGTATAACAAGTTGATTGTTTTTCAGAAATCTAAATCGTGTATATTTTGTCAATATTCAGATGCAACAAAACTCAATAGTCTCGCATAGTCTCGAAAATAATTTAATTATTACCTCCTTGTTAATAATCGAAAATGACGAAATTAGTATCAGATATGAATGCCTATCTTGTATTATAACATTTATTCACAGAATTAACATACATTCTGAAGGATATGGAGTTAATATAACATTCCATCCTGTTTGTACAGTTTATTTTATTGTAAACAGGTACGTCCCGTTAGATAATAAATAATATTGTCATGACAGAAATTTTGTGGCCTTAAATTCTGGTTATGAAATTTCTTATTTTAATAAGTCTCTCGTTCGTAAAATCTAGATTTGTATAATAGTAAAGTGCGCTAATTATTCGTTAAAAGAATATCATTTGGTATTTCTTCATCTTCATATTAGATTTGCAGAGCGATATATATAAGCTTATATTTAATATGTTAGTATTTCCTAGCTTGGGAGATGACAAGTTGTATTCAGTGTAATCTAATATGTTATGAAGTGCGTTTAAGACCTTAAGCTCGTTAATGGAGCAATGAACAACCAGCGCGCAATCTAATCTTCATAAATTAAAGTTAAGATCGGATAAAGAGGAAGATTGTCATTATGCACGTACAATGCAGTGTTCTCTGAGTCTGTCTTTCAAAACTGGTGATTTTATATTAATACTTAAAATCTATTCTTTCTTAATAATATAATCGTGTATCAACAAGATTGGTTCACTTAATTTATTTCAAAATATGACAAGCACGCATGTATGCGTTCGTTTAATGTACAATATACATATCATATGAATTTCATGATTTGCAAATAGTATGGTGAAACAATAAGTAATACATGTAATTAACATTAGATGGACTTATAGAATATTGTCATAATGTAATGCAGACGATGCGAGAGACACGTAAATTTTTGTAATCAAGTTTGAGTATGTTCTGTTGTAGCTTCTTGTATTATATTCTTATATAAAAAAAAATCATAAATACGAAAAAGCAGTATATGAACGATAAGATATCTAATGAATTTAATAATCGCGTTTGGTATCCTATGTATCGCATAAACATTTTTACAGACAGACACAGAGTGTTAAAATTGTATTTATTTGTAAATCGACGATATCAAAAAGAAGATTTAAATGTAGGTATTATCAGATAGATATTCTATTTGAAAATAACCGCATTTATGCTTGATCTATATAAATATCCCGTAAAACTTAATGCCTTACGATAATTATATCACGCATTAGAATATATCTACTTAATGTTTGCATTATTATTTACTGATGTACGTTGACTTTATTATCGCGTCAGGTAGCTATTGTTTGACAGTATACACTTTAAGTGTCTTTATCTATATGTCTATACTTTCACTACCAATGCCTTATTTAATTTAGGACGGAAGGAGACTTAATTGTTTTAAGCTAGCTCAATGTGGTATACAACACGTTTTATTTACATATACTTACATGCACGAACTGAAAGAAATGCGTGACTTAATTACGTTGTATTCGTGTAAATATAAATGAAAGAATACGTTGTAATATATTATATAAAAAAAAAATGAGCGCTTCTATATCGCAGTTGCAACAAGGAGTACATAAAAGATATGCTTACCGTGCTATGTCCTTGCGTTACGATTATTCATTACTAACGAATACGGTGGAGTTTTCAATCATGAAAAAAATTTTAAGTATTAATATTATATTTAATGAAATTAATATTACAAGGCGAATTATGTTCTTATATAATATATATTGTGGAAAACCATACTATATATGCAAATAAATTATATTAAAAAGTTGCACATCACGTAATTCTTAATATCCACATAAATGATACAATAGAGATGCTTTTTGTATAGATTTGTCGTTTATTGAATGTGTCTCAAAGTACCAAAATATGTTGACAGAAAAAAATCCAAGTATTATTTCTATCTTATGAATTGTTTGATCATCATTAAATCTAACGAGATACTCAATAAGTTATTTTTTATAAATTTTACATGTAATTAATAAGATTATAATTTGCAGATATTTTTTTCAGATAATAGATTGGATTTATGAAATATTTTATCGGTTATGATATACTTTTATTATAATTGTTTTATTATAATAAAAATATATTAATTTTACAATAATGTTTCATATTCCTTGATTTCCATTCTTCGGAAGAAATTTAGATTCTATATACCGAAGCAACAAATCGTTACATTCATTAATTAGCGCGGAGGGTCCATTGTGTATTTTGAAACAAGGTAAAAATTACAAAGTGAACAAATTCACTAAGTGTTAACAAATGAAAAGATAAATATTTCAATGAATTTGTTTATATTTTCATTCATTCTATCCTAGGTGTTATTTTATCCTTATTGCTGACCGAATGTTAAACAAAGCTAAAATGATACCCAGGGAGCACTCGAGTGGGAATCTGGACGCGCCCCTGATTTGAAATGAGTCAGTAATCCGATGATTCCCGTCATCGCTCCCGATCAGCGTTCGAATTTCCCGCCTGACGCCGCGCCATCGAGTACGCCCACGCGTCGCGAGATGGCCCTAGTCGCGGGCACATCCGCAGAATCAAAAAAGACAGTTGGGAAGTGTAACATCACACATCGATTCGGCGGCCCGCGTCGAGCCCGAAAAAAAACTGTCCTCTTCCGCGTTCCTTGGGCCTGAGCCGTGTGCGGTCGCGAACGAAACCGCTTAGCCCCGCGTCTAACGTTGACGCGCGCGTACGCGTGTGGTGCGGTGAATGAAAAGTGAGACTCCGGACGACGTGAGTATAAAGCGCGTTGCGCCGATGGAAACGTGACTGTCCCCTCGGTTGTATGCGGTGGTTCCTGTCACGGGTAGCGACAGTGGTAGCGGGTAGCAGCCCTCTCGTTTCAACCCCCGTTTTCTAAGAGCCACGTCGCCGACACCGAGGGAGGGAAACCTCGGCGTTCCGATAACGACCGTGGTGGAGGTCACTGCATTGCGGTGAGTACGTCGAACCCTGTATACACTTTGGCTTTCCGTACGACGCTTTTGTAAGTACGACACGGCACGCCTCGTCAACGACGGGGGAATCCCGCTCCATGAGATCCTTTTCGCCACCCTCGCATCGTACAAGCAAACCCCGTCGACCGGCCGTCAAGGGTTCATTACCCCCTCGGCAACGAGTACACACACGGCGCGCGGCGTCGCGCTCGGTCGCCGTGGCGAGCTTTCCGCCCCGCCGTGTGTCCATTGAAGATCCCTAAATCCCTTGGCGAGTAGAATCTCTCTCGCAGTAGGATCCTCGCGAAATTTTTGAATCGCCCCGCGATGAGAAATTAGCCGGGAGAAGTTGGTCGTTTAAAGCGACGTTCGCGAGCACGGATTTAAATGCTGCGTACCGGTCACCACCGGGGTGCTTCTGACATTCGCCGCAATTTCTCTCGTGTGATCGATTGACGTTTTGAGTTTCGGAGCTTCGTTAGGGCAATGATAGGAGCGTGTTAAAGATCCTCTTGAAGACTTTATTGTAACGCATGCTGTAGACGCGTATTACTGTGGTGCAACATAAATAATTCTTGCGCTGCAGCCATGATGTTTATACATTTGCGATATTACAGCTGCGTGGAAGCTGAGTAGAATATTGCACAAAGATAGAATTAGTCGTTTATATAAAGACTGATTTTAATTACACTAACGTAAGTTGTCATTTAATACGCACACGTATGGGTGTGTGTATGTAATTTTACACGCAAAAAAATGTCATTCTGTTGCTGAGGAAAGTGATTATTCAATTTATCTTCTTCTTTTTAGGTAACGGTTATCTTCAACAAAGAATAATTTCTTAATAATAATCTTAAAAATATACTTGTTACAATTATTAGAGAAATTCATTATATGGTATTCAAAACAAGAATTTATTTTCATTTGAAGAATATTACAAAATTAATTGAAGACGCGACTTTATATAATAAGAAAATCGAATTTGTTTTAATTCAATAATCTTGATTGAAATGTTATTAGGATTAAGAATACATTTTGAATGTCATCTTACGAGATTTGCGGATATATACCTTTTAAATATTTAAAACAGGTTATTAATGTTTGCGTTATATTTATATATTTTTCTGTGTGTATACATATTGTGCATATTTTTGTAATAAGTAAATTAGAAAAAAATTAATTAGTTAAGTAAACATATCCATATCTATGTAGTGACACATATTTATATATTTATTTATTTGAGTAATTAGTTGTTAAAAAATTTACCCGCCTGGCGCATTAAAGTGCTTCTCGTATTTCGTTAATAACCCGCATTAAAATTTACTCAAAAATATTATTCCCATATAAACTCAATGCAAAATGCTCCATCGCGTATAATTTAATCATCTACGAATATTTTTCATGCAAATTAAAACATTGCTGTTAAAATGGAAATATATAATATGTCGAGTGTTTTATTTTATTAACAGCAATTAATATCTTTTGCGCCATTCGTGGGTGATATATAATCATTTAGGATTTAGGATGTCAAATGACATTCTGCATCGTGTTGAAAGGAATTAAAATTATTTAACACAACGTATCTAAAACTATAATTGTGTTAAGCTATTAATATATCATTGTTACTTTTGAAATGTTTATTATCTTAATCCATTGTATTACGTCGTATATGGACGTTATTATTATTTATTTAAGCAATCTAAATATGGAAATACATACGAGTTCCGTACAAAAGTATATAATTGTAAGCTTTGATAGATTAATGGTTAACATAATTAGTCGCTTCCATGTTTTATGTTAAAGTTACATCGAAACATTTGTCGCGTGGCGTTTCTTCATTCGACGGCACTCGTCAACGTTTCATCATCGTAATATAATATTCGAGAGGAATTTTTTAATCATCACCGTTGTATCACGCATCGTGCGTTGGCGTATTTATATTGCGTCAATACTACTGTGTGACACAACAGTATCGTTTAGCAATAAACGCAGATAAAACTCTCCTGCGGTATTGATGTATATTATGTAACTAATAGAGTCATCTAATCAATCTATGTCTATGCTTTTCGCTCTCCTCCTGCGAAGAAATGATCTTAACCTTTAGACTGCCGGGATTTGACATATTAAACCGTCCTTTAAAAGTGGCCAAATTTGTGTCTTGTATCATGTATCAACTATATACAAAGTTCGTATCATAGGCCGAGCCGATATATCGGCTTCCCGGCAGGATAAGGTAAAGAAAAAATTTTGGATCATAAAATTTTTTAATAAGTATTAATAAGGGTTTTTAGGGGCGCTGAATTTAATGGTAGTGTCAAATTGTAAAAATTTTCACGATCATTAAATTTTTCCATCAAAAAGTGGTTAAAAATATTTTGATTTTTTAACTCTCCTTTAGAATTACCCAGAGAATTACTAACGACGTGGACGTAGAGAGTATTTATGTAGCTCCTTTTTTCTTTTTTCCTTTTTTCTTTTTTTCTATTTTTTTCTTACATATGTTTCTTACAGAAAAAAAATGATTTTCCTCCAGAGCCGATATATCGGCTTTCCGGCAGCCTTAAGATTAAAACAAGGGAACATTTGATCTATTAAAACATTAGATCGAATACGCCGCAATAGTAGCGGTTTTATTTGATATCGACTCGTCGCCGGTTGGCGTGTATCCGTTTTTGTTTAACTCACATGGTCACCTTGCAGTATCTCTCAGCAATACGTCGATATTCCTCTGTATTTTCCGTTGATATTTTTTTTTCCTTCATCGAAGCGAAACTGAGAGTGCGCGCGCGCGAATAAATATCAAGATGAGTGAAGTGACGTAGAAAGCCAGCAATCGCCATCGAGCGTTAATTAACACTCGATTAATAGCATCCTTTTACGTTTGCGAGCGGCGTGTGTCGCTTTGTCTCGAGCTATTTATTAAAGCGCATCAGTTTACATTGTCTTCTCGTATCCTGCGCGCGGCAGCTTAGGAGTGTCAAATGGGCTTTTCACATTAATTAAGAGATCTAATAATAATCAACCGTTCTTTGGCTGTTGGAGTACTCGAGCTCACTTGCCTTGTCAAAGGAGAATTGGCATAGTTAGTTGAAAATTGAGATCAAATATGTATCCAAAACATAAATATGTATTTAATAATTTTACATTGAAAACAAATGCTGAATTTTAATAGATATTTGTTTGAACAGTTCTAAGTAAATATTTACCAATTGTACATATATTTATTTGGTGCAAGAACAATTAATTTGGTTAACTACTATTTTTTTATTCAGTATAAATATTTATTTACTGTAAATGTCTATGTCTATGTAATATTATTTAAAGAAATATGTATTAAGATTTAATAAATTTTTTTACTGCAATATATTACAATTTTTCTGATATCAAGTTAAAAGTACAGTTTTATTTATATATATTTACATGAAAGAATTTCTATCATATTGTTATATCAATCAAAAACCATAATTAAAAAAAAATTTTTTAAATTATTGATTCTTCTCTAAAGTCTTCTATAATTGCGTAAGCGTAGTTGTAAAAATTGATTAC